ATTCATTAATTCTTAAGTCTATTTACTTAACAAGCCATTAAAAAAATTTGGAACGTCTATTCTATTATAATAGGGGCAAAGGTGGAGAAACGTTGTACAGCAATGTTACTTCTGACTGATTTCAGGTGTGCTGAAAGCCATGGCTGTGGTTTCTGCTTCGCCGTACGAACAGCATTATCATCTGCGTATGCCTGATGTGAGCAGTCTCTTTGGCATGGTCAAACCTGACCGGCTGAGTGTGAATGGACATCCCCCATGTAAACATAGCCCATGAAGAAGGGGATGATCGATTTTACTGCGTGCGCACGAAATATTAACATTACTGAAACATGACGTCAGAGTGGTCTCTGTGCAGGAACTACGAAAGAAATCGCTTGATCATCAAGTAGAACGCTTCGCCAGCAATTCTGAAAGTAATGGCTGAATTTGACATGTTCCTAGAAAAATATGACATGCATTAATAATAAATTATGCTATTTGAACAGGTAACCAGTTATCAGAAGAACTGCGTGCACAGATGGCGGTGGTGTTGTTCGCAGGGCGAAGCAAAAGCTAGGGTAATGGTTCGCAGCACTGTTGAATTTAATTACAGACAAAACACTCGGAACACAGAAATGGCACTAATTTCCTCTTATTAACCGCTAATTTCCTTAAGCAATGATTTTACCCCCTCTGTTGCTCTTGAGCAACCAGTCGGAAAAAGGATAATCATTTTTCTGGTCATGCCAAAGCACGCGAAACTATCCATCATGCTCTCTGATGCATGCGTGATTCCGTTGTATTTCACTTTTACCCACCTGCAACGGGCGAAATATCAGCACAAGCTTTAACGCAAATTGAATTAAAATTATTTAAATTAACATGATTGTAGTATTATTCACGCTTACTTCGAAATAAATGCCGAAGAATGGTTTCTAGCGATGACGAATCAACCGAGCGCTTATCTTTCGAAAGTTTCAAAATCAAATTTCGTATTTTTTCCTTTTCTTCCTTTCGAACAACATTATCGATCTGAAACGTTGTTAAATTAGTATCGCTGAAGTCTAGAATTCGAATATTAAAGTGGTGTTTTACATTTTTCTGTTTACTGTTGAATGGAAACTTCTGCAAGATTTCCCTGACAAATCCTATTCGACCATAAATCTCATCTACCAAACTTCATCAGCTTCATAATTTTAGCTTTTTCCGTATTCTGCAGGTCTCTTTAAGGACCGTCTGCTCCGTCTTCAAAAATAGTTTTACATCTCTTTGTCTAACAAGGTTCGTTTTTCTAGTAACATATGCTGCCTATTGATCTGTTTGGGCTTCTACAAAGTGTTCGTCTACTCATTTTATGATTTTATTTTTAGACTTCCTATTACGTAGTACGCAGGTTGTGTTTATGAATAGCTCTCAGGCATAGGGTCGACGCTCTGCATGTCCAAGTTATCACTGGGAATACATATTGATCGAATATTTCCCGTTTCAAGTGGAGGGGCAGTTTCCGGGTTATAAACACGTTCACTTTTCTAAAAGTGCTTCTGCCATTTTACCCTTCTATTAATTTCATGAAGTGTGTTCGCCGTTGCAGAGATCAGCTGCTCCAGAAGGACGTAGATTTGCATCTGTTCAAATAGAAGTCCCTGAACTTCAACGTATCTGTTAAACATTACCTGACTCTTCTTCAGTTTCATTGTCCGTCCTAATTTAAAGCTGACAGCATTTTACTTTTGCATTCTTCTTTCTAATCATTCTGGTGATCATGACTAAATTGAAATATCGTCCGCAAATTGCAGACGGCTTAAGTAATGCGCATGTGCATCTACATCCATCAATCAACATTCGAAACATGTACAGTAAAATATTAAATCATAAGAGCAGCTGTTCAGAAAGGGACATCGTAAACCTTCTGAATATGCGCAATATCATTTTTTTGCACATTCGGTACCAATTTTTATAGAGCTGGTTCTCTGTTACAGAAATCATCTGTTCAACATAGACTTTGCTTCGCATTTCATCAGAGGTCTGCTTCAGGGGTTAACTGATCCCAACAGTTTGCTGGTCACTTAACCGTCCAGAATCATTTCAGTTTTCTTTTGGTTCATTTTCAAGCTTGTCTTAATGTCCTGGATTCTTCTCTGCGGTTCATCTAGAGAACAGAAACGAGGACGAAAAGTATTTTGCAATTCGGCTTTCCAAATGATAAAACCAGCGGTACAAGAGATGGCGAGGTACATTGAGGATGACGCATTAAATTGATACAGTTAAAAGAAGCGCTAATGTTTTATATGAAAATATCTACAGTTGTATAGCCCAATAAAGAGCCAGCACATATTTGCAAAATGAAGCAACACATTATTTACCTGATCATTTGATGCTTCGCCGATCTCCCTAGATTAACGTATAATTAGACACATGCGCAATAAAGCTGCTGCTTACAATGCATCAGGATTTTTACAATATATTCTCAGGAGAAACTCCCCTTCCACATCCGGGTCATAGGTGGACGGAATCACGACATAGCGACCCTCCTCCAACCGGAAACGTTGGCAGTTTTCTCTGATGTTGATGAAAGCGCGGCTTCCGGATGCAGATTCGTGGTTGGCAAAGAATTGGTAATCAAGAACTCGATTGTAGAGCATTGCGTCATCAACCTTAAACATTTATAATTAATCAGCGATTATAACATTGATTTATTTAGAAAGTTTCTTTTTTACTAAAGGTAAAAGATATTTTTAAAAAGTTTATCCAGACAAACAGGAAAATGAAATAAATTTATTTCGGGTAGGGTGCGCAAACGAATTTGTGCTTCTTTTGGCTGAAAATCAACCAATTTTTGTGCTTCTTACCAATTCAAATAATTTTCTTAATCTTGTGATCCCATGTCAATCTTATTAGCTAAAAATATAAAATTCTAATGCACTGTAGTTTCATGGTTGAGATGACCAAACCACACAGATCTTTTATACTTTCAGTACCAGCTTCTTTCGCTACATACTCCGTAGCATCTTCAGAGTACGGTTGGCGGTAAATTGCATGAATGAACTGATCACACGTTCAGTCATTCCAATTCATAATCGGAGTCAAAGGTAAAAAAATGAGCAAGTATGCACCTCGTTGCAATTTTTCTGAGCCAAATCCCTCCAAATAGATGAGAGTTTTTTCAGTTAAATGATTCATTGTTCACTGGTAGGTAAGTGACTCACTATTTAACACTACACAATGTGTTTGATCTCATGAATGATTTGTTAACTTATCACAGCTTGCTAATGATGTTTGTACAAAGAAGAGCTAACGTACAGGAAGTAGAATTTTACACTATGATCTGCTTTTGTTTCACCACTTAATTATGCTCAAACTCTAGTAACATTACACAGTACTTTGGTGCATTTTTTCCTTGGCTTCGGACCACATATGACAGTTCTGGGGTGTAGTGTATTCCAGACAATCACTGAACCCTTTCAGAACGTGACCAACAACTCCTGGCTTGAAGGAAAAGACAGTTTTCAAAATGAAACAATAAACTCTCTGTAAAGAGTCTGAAAAACTAAAGTAAAAATTTTCCCATCTGACAAACGAAAACAAGGTGCTTACTATTAGACCAAATGTTGTGACTGCGACGCCTTCTCTATCGGTTAAACATGGACATAACTCGGTGTTCGAGCGCAGCACATGAAAGCCAGCAAACGAACAGTATAGAATGGGAGACGTCAACAAACTTCAGACATCACTCAGTTCAGCATATGATCATATCACGATAGACTATCATATAATTAATTTCCGTGGTAGCAAACAAATCACGGCTTTGAGAAACGGGTGCCAAAAGAAACGTCACTGATCCATACGTCTAACAGCACCATTAACAGAGATTGTGGGCTGAATTTGACTCAGTTTCATGGAGAACTCAGAGAGCCGCCATACGGATCAACGGCAGCAGAACGCCACTCATTATCCAGTGTGGCATCTTCCAACTTTTCATTAAATATTATGGGATCGAAAAATCGCATGATTCGTTAATCGAAATTATTGTGGCTGAAGAGGATCGTCATGAGTAGTCGAAGACCAGTCCGTTCGTTACTGTAGGTGTGTACTTCATGAGAATTATAACTTAATCGAGGGTGCAAACGATGTTTGTTGAAACAAATAAATCATGCTTCAACGATGTCAGTACCTACCTTGTAAACGGCAAATCCTATATGGAGAAAACGGTTGCTTTCTGCGTGTTGTCGCCGTCGATATTTCTGCATCAAGGCAATGATACAGTTGGAACAATCGTTTTCGGCGGTACACTCTGACCGGGTGACGCTAAACTGGAATTGGGGGTTACGTGCAAAGGATTCTAGAAATAGTAGCAAACATTGTGTAACTGCACTGAAGGAAAAATTTAATCAAGCCTCAGAAATGAATGTCAACGCGTATTGCTTATTCAGTTTAATAATTCTATTATTTATAAAAGAATGATTTCAATTTATTGATTCGTCGCAGCTGTTTTGTCGTCTCTACAATCTTTACGGTCAGTCAGCCAAGGAAGATGA